ATGTCATTATTATTCCATGTTATTCATTTTAAAATGGTTTGTCACTATGTATCGCTAATAAGTTTTTGGTTTGTTTGGGGTTTTTTTGGCTGTTTTTTAGCTTCATTAAAATGTGACGATCTTCTGAAACTTGGTCTTCTACCCTACAGGATGGCTTTATCATTCATCCATGTGGTTATATGGCACTGAAACATTAATATCTTCACTTTCACTAATGTAGTATTTGATTAGATTAATGTGCCACAATTTATTTATCCATCCTCCTGCAGATGAACATTGGGGGTTTCTGTTTACCAGCAATGAACATTCTTGTACATACCTATTACAGCACATGGGTAAAAATTTCTTCAGGGTATACACCTGGGAACTGTATTGGTGGGTCTTTTTCTGATTTATTTCTAGGAGTTCTTCAGCTGTCTTGGATACCAGCATTGTATGTGTTATGTGTGTTACAAATATTTTCTTTCAGTTTTTGGTATAACTTTTCACTTTCTTACATTCTCTTTTTAATGGAGATTCTTATAGACAGTTCCCAGTATGTTTTTTATACCATTAGTTCATATTTTTATAAATATATATGATGAATAGTTTTAAAAATATTTTTAGGTTTTGATTTTTGTATGAATGGTACCATTCTGTGTATGTATGTGTGTGTATATATATATATGTGTGTGTGTGTGTGTATTTCGATAGTGACTTTTTATTAGTAACAGATTTATTGAGATATAATGCACAAAAAGTTCACTGTTTCAGAGCACAGTTAAGTGGCTTTTAATATATTCACAAAGTTGTACCTCAATCATCTAATTCCAGAAAATTTTCATCACCTGCAAAAGAAACCCCATACCCATTAGCAGTCACAGGCTATTTCCCTATCAGCCAGCCCGAGGCACACTTTCCCCCCGAAAACATCAAAAACACATCTACATGTGGAACAATGCTCACGGAAAACTAGCTGGAAACTGGCAGGACTCCTGTACAACCAAAGCTGAAGGGAAGATACATTGTAACTGGGTAGGACACGTAGAAAAGTGATCGGGTTGAGACTTGTGTCCCTGGGAGGGGAATCAGAGGAAAGGGAGACTGCATGGGTGGACATTCGCCCCAAGAGTGAGCAGGTTGAGCCACAGCCTGGGAGTCCTAGTCCTGGGGTCCTACGCATAGGAGATAAGCCTCCTTGGCTGCTTGGAGAGCTGCTGGGACAGACAGCAGGCTGGAAAAGCCTAGACTCCACTCAGGAGGAGTGAGCAGGTGCTGGCCGGCCCCCAGGCGGGGTGGAGAGAGGTCTGCCCTAGCAGCCCCACCCTCTTGCCACACTCCCCAGCCCAAGAAAAGAGATCGCCCCACTCCTACTCATTCCACATCAGTGTGGCACTGAATCTAGGGAAGCCAGGACCTGGGAAAAGACTTGACCTCAGGACACATAGGTGACCTAGGGGGGTGGGGTACAGCCTAGGTAGAGCAGTGGTAGCCATTATTGGTGCTTACTCAAGAGCCACCCCAAAAGCAGCCCAGATTTCTGACAGCAATGTGGCAACCATATTTCCTGCAATCACCTTGCTGCGTGAGCCAGCCCAAGCTGAGCAAATGCTCTAGCCCTACTCACTTTATGCCACAGTGCAGCACCAGATCTGGGGTGACCATGACC